AGAAGGTGCACCCTCAGGGGCTCACCCTCAGGGGCTCTGGGGGGTCTGTGAGAAGGTGCACCCTCAGGGGCTCACCCTCAGGGGCTCTGGGGGGTCTGTGAGAAGGTGCACCCTCAGGGGCTCACCCTCAGGGGCTCTGGGGGGTCTGTGAGAAGGTGCACACATGAGGGGGTTCTGGGGGGTCCACGAGAAGGTGCATCCTCAGAGACTTACCCTCAGGGGCTCTGGGGGGTCTGTGAGAAGGTACACACATGAGGAGGTTCTGGGGGGTCCATGAGAAGGTGCATTCTCAGGGACTTACCCTCAGGGGCTCTGGGGAGTCCATGAGAAGGTGCACCCTCAGGGGCTCACCCTCAGGGGCTCTGGGGGGTTCATGAGAAGGTGCACCCTCAGGGGCTCACCCTCAGGGGCTCTGGGGGGTCCATGAGAAGGTGCACCCTCAGGGGTTCACCCTCAGGGGCTCTGGGGGTGGGTGAGGATGTAGACACATGGGGGGGGCTCTAGGGGTGGGTGAGACGTGGACACACGGGGGGGCTCTGGGGGTGGGTGAGATGTGGACACACAGGTAATGGAGCAGAACCCTTTTATCCCAACACAGCTCTCATCCCAGTACATGAAACACGTCCGTCCATCTGTCCATCCGTCCATCCACCTGTTCTTTCAACAACTACTGCCCAGGGACCCACGTCGAGTCAGGTGCCCGCTGAGGTCTGGGCGCGCAGCAGTGCTGGACCCCCGTCTCCCGGGGCTCTGGCTCCAGCAGGAGGAAACGAACGACTCAACAAGCAGAACGTCCCCGCCAGGAAGGTGGAGCGGAGCAGGGAGATAGATGTGTATGCAGGCGCGTGCGCAGGGACAGCTGACCTTTGAGTGAGGCCCTTAAGGCAAACGGTGTCTGTGGTCCGCGTATCTGAGGCTCGGTGAGGCAGGAGCGTGAGGTGCCTGGCTGTTCTGAGGCCAGGAGGAGGCCAGGCAGCCGGAGGGAGGCACCAGGGAGGGAGCACCGGCTGCATTTCCCAAAGATGGCCACATGGACGCCTTGCCCGCCCTACATGCTGGCCTTACAACTGTGCCCCCCACCCCCGCCCCAACCCTGCACAGACCTCTCTAACCGCCTGGACCCACACAACACACAGAAGCGGTGCTGCGTGACTTCCAGGCTGGGTCACAAGAAGCCATGTGCATGCTCACCTTTGGCACCTGGCCTCCACAGCCCACGCCGCTTCTGAAACGTAGGCCCAGCAAGGGACCCTGACCCACTGAGGCCTGGGGACATCCTGCCAGGCGTCCCCCGGAGAGAACAGACACGCCCCTCCGGGAAGGTGGCACCTCAGGCCATTATCAGCCATTTACACCTCCGCTCAGTCAGCACCACACCTCAGCTGGCAGCCAGGCGGGCTGACACCCAGCTTAGCAGTGAGCTGAGCTAACACCAACACCGGGGAGTTCCAAGGAAGGCGGACTGGTCGTGATGGGGGACCCTGGCACTTGGGGGTGCTGTGTCCCCAGCCCACAGGTGAGCGAGTGTACCAGGCATTAGCCTCACAGCAGCCTTCCGACCTGCAGGCTAGCTAACCCTCCCAACAGCCTGAGTGACTGATGTGATTGTACCCATTGTACAGACAAACGGAGGCTCTGAGGAGAGACCTGCTCAGGGTCGCACAGCCAGGCGGTGACATGGCCGGGTCTGGGACTTCTGGGACAACCAGGAACTTCCCTCCAGGAGCTGTGCTCACTCTGCCCTGCTGGAGGCTATCACCTCAGCTCGTGGGCCTCGGGGCCTCCAGCCCAAGAAGGAGACATGGGCACAGCACCTGCAGTGATAAGTTCCCCTCACTGTCCAGATGCAGACCCCAGGCAGCTCTGTCACCCCCGCCCTTCAGTCCACCTGCAGCTCCAGGGGCCTCCTCCCCTCAGTGCTGTGGGGACCCGCCTGCATTCGCAAACACCTCCCTCGCTATCTCGGGGACCCTCCGTTTCTGACCCCGACCAGGACAGGATCTGTGCAGACCAGGACAGGTCCAAAGCAGGAACGGAGGGGCTGGGGGACTTCAAGGGTGGTGCCAGGAGTCAGGACCAGCCGGCCCAGCCTCTCTGGGATCACCGTGTGGCCCCACACCCTCCCTTGCTCTCTGGGCCTAGTAGGCTCGGCCCCAGAGAGCACGGACGGACGGAGGGACACCAGGGGATGGCGCGGGGGCTCACCCGCAGGCCAGACACCCAGAGAGGAGTGGGAACCTGGGCTGAGACAGCCTGGCCTGGGTGCCCACTCCCCATCCCAGCTAGGCTTTGGGGGTCTGACAGAGCTGCTGGGGTGTCTACAGTGCCCTGAGGGGTGGGTGGACAGAAAGACGGTGAGGGGGCAGCAGACAGCCATGGGGACAGGAGTGGCTCTCCGCCTTGCCTGCTGGTCCCAGGAGGGGAGAGGGCAGCAGCTGCCAGCTTGGCCTAATTGGGCATCCAGACGGCCCCTGGAGCAGCCCCATCGATCCCTGGCTCCTGCCCACTCCTGGCTGTGGCTGCCACGGAAACTGAATTAAAGCTCACACTTCAATAACACGGAATGATCACTTCCATCTACTCTCCCCATGGACACAGCCGAAGGAGGTCCGGGAGAGAGGCTGCGAGGGCCAGCACCGCCCCAGCAGACACCCTGGGACCCCCAGGACACCCCGGATCCCACGGACACCCCGGACCCCCAGGACACCCCAGATCCCATGGACACCCTAGACCCCCAGGACACCCCGGATCCCATGGAAACCCCGGACCCCCAGGATAACCAGGATCCCACTGACTCCGGACCCCCAGGACCACCAGGATCCCACTGACACCCAGGACCCCCAAGATACCCAGGATCCCACGGACACCCAGGACCCCTGGACACCCCGGACCCCCAGGATACCCAGGATCCCATGGACACCTGGGACCCCTGGACACCCCAGACGCCCAGGATACCCAGGATCCCACAGACACCCAGGACCCCTGGACACCCCGGACCTTCAGGATACCCAGGATCCCACGGGCACCTGGGAGCCTACAGACACCCAGGATACCCCAGATACCCCAGACAGCTGGGACCCCCCCTCAGACACTCAGGACCCCCAGGACACTTGGGACCCCCAGGACACCTGGACCCCCAGAACACCTGGGACCCTCGGGAAGCCCAGGGTGTGGGCTGGCTCAGGGAGGCACCCGAGGCTGGGAGCCAGGGGCCGCCTGCTTGGAGTCGTGGCAACGTTGGGGAGCCATACCCCTCAGGGCTGGTTTTCCCCTCTGACCAAGGGGAGAGTAACCACTGCTCCTGGCCTTGCAGGGCTGCTGCTGAGAGACAAGAGAACACAGGGGCGCAGGCGGGACCGTGGGGCCGTCCAGAGTAGTGTAGGGAAGGTCTCTGGCTGCCCAGTAGGCTGTCCCCCGCTCCAACTCTCCAAGGCTGGGGACCGCCCTACTGGACGCCACTTTCTGATCCACTGGAGGGAGGCACATCCATCAACCCGTCCCTTTAAAGATGGAGTGACCTTGGAAGGTAGGGTTCCAAGGTCACCAGTGGCATTCCCACTCTGGAACTTAGCCTTGTCCCATAAGGACGATCTGGGGACACTGTGGGATCAGCAGTTCACCCCATGGGGGGCGTACCAGGGGTCCCGCTGACTCAGCCCTGCACCTTCAGTGCCAAGGGGCTCAAAGCTCCCTCCCCACAGACGCCAGCCGCCCAAGGGGATCAGAGCCCCCTCCCCACAGACGCCAGCCGCCCAAGGGGCTCAGAGCCCCCTACCCACAGACGCCGGCCGCCCGAGGGGATCAGAGCCCTCTCCTCACAGACACGAGATGCCCAAGGGGCTCAGAGCTCCTCTCCCCTCCCCACGCCGGCCTGCCGGTGAGAGACAGACCAGAGGAAAGAGGGGCAGGAAGGCCTCAGGCAGGAGGTCAACCTGTGCTGTGACCCCCACTCCCCCTCCAGGCCTCAGATGCCCTGGCCACCCCCCATCCCCTACCATCCACCAGCAAGGTGGAGGCTCTGGGGGGGGGTCTTCCTGCACCGCTGAATGCATAAAATCATGCAAATCCAAAAGCCCCCAGGGATGGGGGGCGGGTGGGAGCTGATTTGGGAGGGGGCGTGAGTGGGTGGTGATAACGAGTCTTCTAAATTCCACACGGAAACAGTCTGCAAGCAGCCAAGGTGTGAAATGGCCACTTGTGTTTCCGAGGCTGTTTCCTGCAGCCTGCAGCCCCCTCCCCACAACATCCCCACGCAAGCGCGCCCCTCAGGAACTGCTGCACAGATGGGTCCATCAACCCAGCAAGCCTTGGCTCGGCCCTCCAGGGACCTGGGCCCCAGAAGGCCTGGCCGGAGGGCAGGGCCCTGCGCTGTGGCAGCCACTTAGCCGGGGCCTGTGGGCTCCCTCCCTCCCTCCCTAATCAGGCTGAGACGCCATCACCAGGCTGCAAACCTTGGGGAGGCTTTCTTAAAGGCCAATGACAATTTGTGGTTTGTTTATCCCACTCCTAATCCAAGGGTGTGATCAGGGCTATGGGGCTGGCCGTGCTCACGCTGCCTCCAAGAACTGCAATGGCCTCCAAGTTCCTGCAATGGCTGCCCCATCAGCACGAGGCTGGGGTCACCGCAGAGCGCCAGGAAGGCAGTGACCTCTCCAAGGTCACCCAGCAAGCTAGGGCTCCAGCCCTAGGGTCTCCCTGCAACCCCAGTGCTGCACGGAGCTGCAGGGGTTCAGGGGTCACAGATGAAGCGCCCACCCACCTGCCCTGGGTGGGCCTCTAGTCTGCACTGCAGGCAACCTCGGCCCCCCCCCCCACAAAATACACTTGCACACACACATAATACACACGCACGTGTGTGCGCATATATACACGCATGTGTGCACACCCCATACACATGCACGTGTGCATGTGCACACGTGCACGCAAACACACATGCACACATGCACGCTTGCACATGTACACAGTACACAGGCATGCACACACGTGCACCACCACCTCACCTCGATCTGCAGGATGGCCTCCTCCCGCAGCCGGATGGCCTCCAGGTCCTCCTCGGTGAGCTCCGGAAGCAGCGCCTGTTCCTGGCTCAGCCCAATGTTGTCACTCCCACTCCCGGTGAAGATCTTCTCGTCTTCGGCCAGCTCAGCAAAAGGGGCCCGGGGACTCTGCTGGCCACAGAGACAGCCCGTTAGCGTGGCACACTTAATTACAGACAGGCCAAGCCCCCATGTCTTCTTCACATGGCTGGGAGGGGCAGGGGACAGAGGGACTGAGGCCACACGCACTCACACGCAGCCCAGGCCTCAGCGTGCTCCCTTCTCCGAGCCCATGCTGCACACGGAGGGGCGCGGAGGAGGCCGAGCCAGGGCTCTGCGTCCTGAGGGCAGCGGGCTGGGGGCCTCTGGCCGAGGTCCTGCTGTGTGTGGCAGGCAGGGTGCCAGGGTGGGCGGTGGCTGTGTGTGTGTGTGAGTGAGTGCGAGGCAGAGGGCATGGGGCAGAGAAGCAGAACCGAGGCCTGGCATCTCCGCCTGCCTCAGCCTTCTCATCTTTGAAGCCCCTTGGTGTCAGTCTTTGCCCTAAGGACCTGGGCTCAGCCCCCAACCCCGTCATGGGGCAGTCACAGGGTCGCCTCGACACCTCCCACAAAGCCCCCTGCAGTGGCGTCCTGCCTGCGGTAGGGACACGGTGGGGCAGCAGAGCGTCCCTACAGGCGGAGGCTGGCGGGGTGACTGGAGCTCCTGAAGCCGTCCTGCCCCAGCCACAAACACACAGCCTTGTGCCCTGGTAGACCCTGGCCCCCAGGGGCCTTCCTCCCCGTAAGCTCCCCAGGCGCCCCAGCTCGTGGACTCAGGAAAGGCCCCCTGAGCAGCACTCAGGCGCGGCCGGCTTTGGGGTAGAACTGCACTTCCAAACGGGCCTCCACGGAGAGGCTGTGTCTGGCGCTCCGTCACCTCCAAGGGTCCAGGGACAGCGCCAGGAGCTTACTGAGGAGCAGTCCTCCCCCCTTCACTCCCACCCGCTTCACAGAGCTCCTCTGCATGAAGGGAGGACAGCCTCCCTGGCACCATCTCCAGCTCCCGGCCCAGGCACGGCCCGGCAGGCACTGACTCCCCACCTGTACGGGGAGCGAGTGTGGAGGGAGGTCTGGGCTGGGCGTCAGATTCGGGACAGAGATGCAGAGCTCGGCGTCCGATCACCGACACCCCTCTCGCCAGCTCCAGGCTTCTGACCACAACTACCAGAACATTCTAAATGGTCGCCCTGAAGGAGGTTGCCACTCGACTCTCCTGTGCTATTTCCTTCATGCAAGACCCTCAGCTGGGCACCTGTGTGCCCGAAACAAAGACCCCCAGCCCGTTCTGTGCAGCTCGGGTGGTCATGTGGCAGCTCTGGCTGGCCAATGTTGCAGTCGGCACGTGTCTCGGTGAGTGGTGGTGATCCGTGATCTGCTGTCTCCCTGTCATACTCTGGACTCCCAGCAGCAGGGCTGCGTCTGGTCCACTCTGTGTACAGGGCCCCAGGAGTCGGGAAGACACCCTGGCCCTCCCCCAGCCCTGCCGCCACAGCCTGTGAGGTACCTGCATCCGGAGCCCCAGGGACCCGGTCAGCAGGGGAGTCAGGGCTGCGGCTCGGTGACTGAAAGAAGACTCTAGAAGACAGTTCATGAGACGAGGGTCCGCCCTCTGTCTGAACTCACACACCTCGGGCACCACTAACACACCACCCCAACCAGGCTCGGGGCGGGCGGACGGAGGGATGCGTGCTCTGTGAACGGAACGTTCTGGCAACAAAACCTACTGATCACATAAGCAAGAGCCTGCTGGTACTTTCTGTGTGCCTTAGCTTGTACTCGCAGGGAGGGGCGTCTAGGCGGCCCCCAGCCTCCCCTGAGACTTGCAACCCAGCCAGAGGCAGCTGGGAACACAGGCCATTGAGGAAGCCCACTGCCTGCCCGGCCCTCAGACAACAAGGCGTGGTGCTGGGGCTCATGCTCCTGTCTATTCCCACCACGACCCCGTGCCAGGTGACCCTGTGCCAGGTGAACCCACACCAGGCAGCAGCGCTCTCCTGAAGGAGGAAGGACTGTCCAAGGACTCACAGGTGGACGGGGGCCAGTGCTAACCCAGGGCTCCTTCAGGGCCTCCCTGCTTCCTCAGTGCCCCACCGCCAGGGCGGAACATCTCCCTCCCAGGAGCCAGGAGAGGCCTTTAAATAAACAAATACAGGCAAGTGGGTCTCCAGGGCAAGACCTCAAAAACCCATCCATAGCGCTACTCTCCCCCGCCGTGATTACCATGCCCCTCGCCGCGTGGGCAGAGGAAGGGATCTGGCAGGCAGCAGGGGAGAGGGCTGGCCTCATGCCAGGCCCCACACCACTGCCTCCCTCTGTGGCTCCCACCTTCCTCCAGAAGCTTCCAGGCTGTTCCCAAAAGGACTGTCCAGACATGGAGTAAATGATGGGTTCTGATCCCAGCTCTGGCGCGAGCCATGAGGCCCTGGGCAATTCAGGCACATTCTCAGGCCTCAGTATTGTCATCTGTAAAATGGGAGCAACAACCCCACATCTCCTGCGGCCCACGCGCTGGCTCCTGAACCTCAGCTGCACTGATATAACCCGCTCGACCTCCTGCCACGCCCACTGCTCACCCCACACTGAGCCTGTCCTGCAACAGCGACACTGGGTCTCCCCGCTGCACACACGCCCATCTCCCAAGGTGGCCTGGGAAACAGAAAAGGCTCTGGGCCGTTCATTACCTCCCGAGTGACCTGGGGCAAGTCCCTGAACTTCCCCGAGCCTCAGTCTCCACTCCCGCCGGGTGGCGCTACCACCACCCACATGCAAAACTGCCGTAAGGATTCAGTGAGGTAGAGCAAGGGAGGATGCTGAGCATGTAAGACACCCAACCCCAGGGACGGAGACGTGCACGTGGAAATAAGGTGCCACCTCAAACCTTCCGAAAGAAAACAGTGGGAAAACCAGCCTTTCCCAAGTGCGGGTGAGCGTGGGGACGCTTCCTGCAGCGGCGCGTGGGCGGCACAGCACCCGGGGGGGCAGAGGGCATAAGGTTGCAGATCCCACCTCCCGAACCTGCAAGCTCGAGACGGGACTCTGCCCTGGGCCAGGCCAGAGGTTCTGACTCAACTGGCTGGGGCCACCACCGGGGCTGCCACCCGAGCCACCACCAGGGCCACCACCCGAGCCACCACCCGGGCCGCCACCCGAGCCACCACCAGGGCCACCACCCGGGCCACCACCAGGGCCACCACCCGAGCCACCACCAGGGCCACCACCCGGGCCACCACCCGAGCCACCACCAGGGCCACCACCCGGGCCACCACCCGGGCCACCACCAGGGCCACCACCAGGGCCACCACCCGAGCCACCACCCGGGCCACCACCCAAGCCACCACCTGAGCCACCACCAGGGCCACCAATAGGGGAGCCATCACCTGGACCACCACCTGGACCACCGCCTGGGCCACCGCCTGGGCATGGAGCTTTCAAAGCTTCCCAGGCAAAGACAATAGACCGCCAGGTAAGCGCGCCCTAGGGAGCCCTCCTGTGCACCCAGGGACAAAACTTCCCGAAGGTTCACTGCAGCGGTATTTGTAACAGCAAAACCTTGTCGACATTCCGAATGGCTGACAGGAGCATGAAGAACAGAAAATACGGTCTTGGTCTCTCCGTACGACGCAACACCACGCACAAAACAGTTAAAACGAAGGACTCAACCATGCCAGGTGAAGAAAACGTGACTCACGCTGTGTAACTGTCCCGGGATTTGGGGTCTTCGGGGAGGCTCCCAACAGCCATGGGCCTGGTGTCGTGGGCCCACCCCGGGTGTGTTGGCGGGGTGTGGGGGTGAGGCCTTCAGGAGATGGAGGGGGCAGGAAAGAAGCCCGAGGAGTCTGCCCGGGGTTGGGGCTCAGCGTGGTATCAGGACGCGGCACGGAGGCCCAGGGAGGCGGCTGACTTGGGCGAGGGTCACAGCAGCACCTACTGGACCTCCCCCTCCTCTGCCACTGGAGGCAGGCCCACCACCTCCCCTCCACGCGGGAGCAGGCAGGCCCACCACCTCCCCTCCAGGCGGGAGCAGGCTGGCCGCTGGGAAGAGGAGGTACAGTGCTGCCCTCTCCAGCAGCTCAAGACAAAGATGGATGGAAAGAACGGCTTACAGGCTGGACCCTCCTCAGCCCTTCTCTGGAAGGATCACAGCGCACGCCTTTCTTCTCCTCACAAAGGTTCGATTTGGGTCTTTAGTGCCAAAGCTGGGATCAGGGATTTGCCGCCAGGTGTCGGCGGCAGAGGGGCCGGACCATGGGATGGTTTTCCAGCCGCCAGCAGACAAAGGCGGCTTTCTCCTCCCTCCACGGCTGAGGGTGAGGAACGCTCTGACACATACAGGAGAGACACACAATCCAGGCGACACTGGGGAAGCTGAGAGCATTCCCGTGAGAAGAGAGGAAGCTTGGGCTCCCCTCAGCTGGCCCGCCTCCACGCAAGCAGGACGCCACACGGCGCAGATGCGGGCTGGGCCCAGGGCTTGGGCCTCTGGACACAGGTGTCTTCCCAGACTCTCTGACCCCAGCCTGCACAGGCGGGCAGGTCAGGGCACATGCCATCCACACACAGGCTCAGCCCCAGGCTGGTCATCGTTTCTCTGAATGGGACTGGTACCATTCGCTAGCCGATGGAAGTTTCCGGAGATGCGTCAAATCCTGGGATGGCAGAGCTGGAAGGGCTGTGGAACCTGGCCCTCGGTCTTCAGTTTCAGGAAGAGGTACCAAGGACCTCTGGATGGCACAGGGTTGGGTTTGGTTTTGGGTAGGGCCTGAAGACAAGAGCAGCTGTCTGCCCTACACCCAGCCAGGGACACCTGCTGCGGGCTCTCCAGCGGCTGTGTGGGGAAGCTTAGTTTTACCTCCGCAGCCTGGGAACCACAGACTTCCAGTGAAAATCTAGGCAGTGTTGGCCAATGGTCAGGAGTGGTGCAGAACCCACCACTGTGAACTGTCCCCACACTGGATCGTCACAGCTCTGCTCGGGGACACTGCTCCTTAGCGGAGTCTGACCCGCGCCAGGCCTGGGCCATCTCTGACTCACCCTGAGCCCAGCTAAGTCCCCAGGCCGTGGGCTCTGAGCTCACGCACACCCACCAACACC